CTTTGAAAAAAAAGTTTGTGCTTGTATTGTTTGATCACATTTTCATGCTTATATCTTGTAATATGACCAACTACTTTGAAGTAAATAATATGTAATGTATTAGTCACTGTTACTCTCCTACTACCATGTTTTGAAATTTTGTTATTGTGTTTATATTTTTCTCTTGAAAATACAAAAACAAAGGTTTAAAAAATATATAAGTCAAGGGCCAAAAATGACTTTTATGCTGGAACATTCCATTGTGACAACCCTGATGCTACCCTTCACAAAGAGGGAAACTAAAATCATAGGGGCCACAGGGATTCTGAGAGCTTGCCCATCCTGTCTGTCATGAACCTGCCAGCTGGGGGCACATGAAGTAGATCATGAGTTTCTGTATCTACCCAAGTGCCTCATTCCCCTCCTAGGAAGAAACTTGCTGACTAAAGGCAGAGCCCAGACAAGGTACTACCTGAGGGACATACTAGCCTGACCCTTGATATCCAGGAAAATATAATCCTGTCAGTCACAGTCCTCAGAGAAGAATAGAAATTACATACAGTGGATAGAGAAGAACTGAACTCTTCACTGCTGTTGGAGATACTTTGTATGCGTGTCCTAGAGTAGTGGAAGAAGAACCCATGTCCCTTCCCAACAGTATTGTTCCTTCTTACCTGCCAGCAAAAGGTCATCCATATACTGGATCAAAACACAGTTCAGCTGGTCTCCTGAGAAGGTGACTAGGCCAGTAGCTAAAGCTTCCCCTAACAGGGTAGGGGAGTTCTTAAAGCCATGGGGTAGCCTTGTGCAAGTTGAGTTTTTCATCCTATTTGGGATCTTCCCATTCAAAGGTGAATAGGGACTGACTTTGAGGGGCCAGGAGCAAGCAGAAGGTGACTTTGAGAACCCAGCTGGTGAACCAGGTTGCCCAAGGCAGAAATAGCCTCAGTGATGTATTGGAGTTTGTGACAACTGGGTGTGATGGTGGCATTATTGATTGCTCAAAGGTCCAATAGCAACAGGTAAGCATTACCACTAGGATTTTTGACACGAAACAGAAGGATATTCCAAGGAGACTGGAACTCTAATGGGATCCCTGCCACTTTCAGTCAGTTGATGTGTTCCACAACTGCTATTTGTGCTTCCTTAGGTATGACACATTGTCTTAGCCTGATAGGGGTTGTTCCTGGTTTGAGCTCCAACAGTATTGGGGACTGATTTTCAGCCAGTCTGGGCAGGGACTTTTTGACCCATACCTCTGGGTATGTCTCCAACAGCAGTGGAGAGTTCAGTGAGACATTCTCAAGCTGACCAAATATCAGAGATACTCCAGAATCTAAGCCAGATATTACTTTATTCACAGATGGCAGCAGCTCTATCAAAAATGGGGAACACCTGGCTGGTTATGCCATCACTACAGTAGGCCAAGTCATAGGGAGTTAACCACTCCCAAAGGGTGGTTGGCACAGAGGGCTGAATTATGGGCCCACAGTCATGCTCACCAATAGGTCCAAGGAAGAGCTATAAACATCTATCCTGACCTTAGGTATGCCTTTACAGCCATCCATGTACATGGGGTGTATACAACGAGAGAGGATTACTAATGGTGGGGGTGGGGAGATAAATAAACAAATACTCCAACTTCTTGAGGCCATCTTGGAACAGAAAGGAGTGGCCATCAAACATTTTCAGGGGCATCAAAAAGGACAGGATGACTGACAAGGGGAAATCCATTGGTAGATCAGGCAGCTAAAGAAGGTACACACAAGGAATGGTTGCCTCAACACTTAGGAAACACTAAATTGCTGCTGACATGTGACTGACCCAAGGTACACCCCAGAAGAAAATCAGTGGGCTCAAAATGAAGAAGTTCATAAAGTTTCAGGAATGTGGTGGTGCCTACTGGACCAGAGGCCTTTCATTCCATAGGAATGGCCTACTCTTTCATTCAACACCACGATGGCCTCACCCACTTGGGAAAAATTGCACTAGAGACACTTCTAAGTCAATATTGCTATAACTCTTGGCTGTCGTCTTTCTGTAACACAGTGGCTAATAGATGTTAAACCTGTCCACAGAACAGTCCACTCCAATTTTCTCAGCCTGCTTCAGGAATACAACATACTGGAACCTCACCCCTTGAGGGCTTAAAGGTAGATTTCACAGAAATCAGAACATGCAATGAATATAAGTACCTGCTGGTCCTTGTCTGTACCTACTTGGGCTGGGTAGAAGCCATACCTATACGAAAATATGGAGCCCAGGTAATGGTAGACAGTGCCCTGCAAGAAGGAAATAGAAAAGTGGTCTGGGGAGTAGTTTAAGGGTCAATGTGAAATTACAGTTTGCAGATATAATTGTCCCAGGAAGATCCCTGGAGTGCAAATCTGTCAAATGCAAAGTGTGATCTGGGAGTCCATATTGACACCTTCAAAAACAGGGCCTCACATAGACCTATTATGGACCTTGTATGGGCTCCAAATTTTGTAATGAGTGACAGAACCCCTACATCACCATTGACCAATAGTCACCCTCTGTACTAGATACAAAAAGTTTCTCTTTGATTGGGAAAATAAAACTCAGCATTGCACCTAGGTTAAATGCCAGGGAGAGGCAATAAAACATATTTTAACAAACTTAAAATGTGGAAATCATAAAAATCTTCAATTATTTAGACATTTAAAAAGTTAATGAATAGCACATTAATTAAAAGTAGAAATTTGACAAAAAATACTTTGAACTAAATGAAAATATAACATAAAATGTATAAAACATAGAGAAATCTAAATGGATATTTATATCATTCAATGAATGCTTTACAAAAGAAGGAAGATTCAAAAATTTTCTAAAATTTTATTTTAAAGAGAAAAAAAGCAATAAAAGAATGCAATATTTCAAAACAAAATGATAGGAAATTAACAATGGTTATTATATTGTATATCGCTATCTTCAAAGTAGTTGCCCAGATTGCTAGATATAGGCAAGCAAAATTGATCAAAATTCACACGGTAAGTCCCACTTTAGGAAACCAAAGGGAGATGAACAATTTAAATGGAAAGCAATAAAAAGAAAAGATATGATAAAAATTAAAGCAGAGAACAATGAAATTGGAAACAGCAAATAGAGAAAAACAAATCAAATTAAAATTGGTTCTGTGGAGAGATCTATAAGATTTTAAAACTTTATTCAATTTAACCAGAAAAATAAAAGGTGTAAATTCAGTAGATGAAAGAAAATTCACCACTATGGATATTATAGATATTAAAAGGCTAATAAAAAGAGGAACTCCCTGCTATGAATAAGTTTGATAACTTAGATGAAATGAATCAATTTTTTGAAAACATAAACTGTAAAATCTCATCAAAGAGATATAATCTGAATATGCATATATCTACCAATAAATTAGAATCAGTAACTAATATGCTTCCTAAAAGAAAGCACTAGGTATAAATGGTTTTACAGGGAATTCTACTAAATATTTAATGAAGAACTTTAATCAAGTTTCCAGTATTTCTCCCCAAACATAGAAGTAGAATAAACACTTCCTAACTCATTGTTTGACTTTCCCATTTTCTTCTACTCTTTTCAGACTCTCAGGTCTTGTAAGTAGGTCTTCTGTAGTCCTCAATAAGCTCCTCAAAGTTTGAAAACATGGCCTCCAACACTGAAAGCTTTTAATTAATGGAGAAGAATGTTCATGGTACATCATCTACTGACAAACAACTTTGATAAAAAACAAAAAACAAACTGAAAAACCATCATGGACATATTTATATTTTTGAAAAGACTAAAATTCTCTCAGAAAGAGCCTCTGTCAAGTCCTTGTGGAGGAAGTCCCAACAAAGCACTGTTGTAGAAGATGACACTGCAGTACATGTTCCTCCCACTTAGAACTTCCCAGTGGGATAAGCTGTGGAGGTGAAAGACAGTAACACTGATGATCCTGATCCTTTGTAAGCCTGAACTAGTGTGGGTGTGCTTATAACTTAGTCTTTTAACAAAAAGTATTTTTGAAAAAGTAAAATAGAGATTTCCAACATGACTGATTAGAGAAGGTGGTGCACTGAAGTAGCTTAGAGGAGAGACACCAACTAATGCAGGTATTCTGAAATAAAGGAGGCAAACACATCCAGATACAGAGAATTTAACCACTAGACAAATCCTTTACACTGAACCAAATATCTGGGTTGTTGAAAAAGGGAAGCAGGCCTACATGACTTCCCCAGTGAGCATGGTATCTTGACAGCTGTTGTAATAGGCTGAGCAAAAGATTGCTACAGAGTTCAGACTCCTGCAATAGGCTCCTACATACCTTCCTCCCACTTGGAAAGAAAATCTAGCCCTGGAGTTACTGCAGTTAAATCCCAAGGGAAGCCTAGACTGCAATCAGAGACAGGGACAGCCAGCAACAGAAAAACAGGCAATCTGCCGCTACATCATCCTCCCAAACACCAAGGAACACTTTCACTGCAGCATCCTCTCCACTACCCACTGTTCAGGATCAACAAGGGAAGCCCCCTGCCCCCAAGGCAGAGAGAGGATAAACCCCAGGAACTGTGGGCATGTGGATTTCACTGAAAGGAAACCATAGAATGCAGCCTTAGAGAAGTGAGGAATAGAGAGAGATTCAGGGAAGCTGGACAAGACCAAGTACTCTCCTATTGTTTCCCCAAACACTGGAAAGACCTGAGACACCGTAAAATCCTGCCCACTGCCACCATTCTGGATGGGAAAAGAAGGCTCTCTGCTAAGTGTAGGTGCTGCACCAAGTTTCATAAGTCAGAAAGCAGAGCTCCTGAGACAGGGACCAGGGGCAGATAAAGGGCTGAGAGCAGAAAGGCAGAAAGCAGTGCCTGGGTCAGAGGACTTCTGGTGGTACATTAGGCAGAAGGCCCACAGAGGGAGGTACAAAGATGACTACAGGATTTATCCTGCAGTGAAGGGAATAGGAGTAGGAAATCCCTAGCAGAAGTCAACTGAGAACCAGATATGGGGCAACTGATATCATATCTTCTTCTTACCAAGTTGAGGTGGTCAGATCTCAGGACAGAGACAAAGGTCTACCATTAGCCTCACTGAAAGCACACTTTCAGCCAAAAAGCAGGTCCAGAGAAATACAAAGCCCTCACTGCCTCCAGACAGGCAATTAAGTATTCCACAGGGGGAAAACTGGTTTGGCTGCCTGCAATCACACTGTGAACTACAGCATAAAGGGAACCATGGGGATATTCTGGATGAATGGTAAAACAACTGTGAGACGTTTTTGTTTGATTCTTTGCTTTGTTTGTTTTGGGTTTTCTTTTTCCTTTTGCTCTCCAGTTCTTGCTCCCTTATTAATATAATTTTTATTTTACTTCTTTTTTATTAATTAAGTTTATTAGTACATTTTAGCTATACATAATAATCACATTCATTATAAGAAATTTGTACCTGTACATGATATAACTTGATTCCTTTCTTCCCTATTCCCCTACTTTTTTTTCACTTCTTTTTTCTACTTCCTCTTGTTCTTTCCTCTCTTTTCTCTTTTTACTTTCTTTTCTCCCTGTTTTTTTTCTACTTTCCCTTATTTTCCCTACCACTTTTTCTCTCCCCTCTTTTTCTCCACCTTTTATATAGCATATAAAGAACAGGTGCCTGTATGTGAACAGAAGAGAATAAGAACCACTTATTGAAACTGAATGATACCATCCATAACCCTGTTGGGTAACCCTTAGCAAAACTGTGCTGAGAGGATTCAAACAAAGCTAAGCAAATATATTAACAGCCCATGACAACCTCACAGTTTCCCTCAACCTCTAAATGTCCTTCCCTCTGCATCCCTCCTCCTACCTTTAGAAATATTAGCACTCACTAATATTAGCACTTTGAGCACTAGCCTTTACTTCAGCTATAAAGGAACTCCAACAATCATATGTCCTATTTTTTAACCTATTGATATTTCTCTTATCTCCCTCTTAATGTCTTACTGACTTCCTTGTCCTCTTCCTTTTTCCTTCCTCTCTCCCTCCATATCCCATATTATGCTAATAGCAGAATAGTATAGTCTGTAGGGAGCACTGCTAATAAGCCAAACTTCTCAAAATATTCAGTGTTCATGACTGATGTATGGTTGGATCTGTGGATGCTGCTATAAGCAGTAGGAATTCTTTCCTTATAACTGACATACTGGGTCTAACCCAATTAAACTGAATAGGCTTAAGTGGGGCCAGACAAAGCCAAGAGGACATCACTGGAACACAGAACTAACTAAAGAGATTTCATACTAAGAGCAAAGTCTCTATTTTCTTTTACTTCAACCCACTTTGCTGTCATATGCTTGCACACACACACACACAAAGCACATGAGAAAACAAGGCAATAAACACATCCAAAACAAACTCAAGGGGCACTGTGGCAGATGAAATCCAACCAAAATAGCTAAACTGCATGTAATGATGAAGGATACAAAGAAACTCAGCTATCATAAAGATCATATAACCAAACACATAATGGAATTAATGAACTGATCAATGTGTTCAAGGTGAGTCAAATAAAAAATTATAAAATCTGACTAAGACCATTCAACATGAATGACAAATTTACCAAAGAATTAGAGTCCATGAAAAGGTACCAAATGAACTCCTGTAGATAAAAACTTCTACTGAATATATGAACAGCAGGTGATCAGTGTGAGCAGACAGTGTCAGACCTCAAGGAAGGATTAAAAACTTGAGACTATACATTCAAACGTACATTAAAAGCAAGAGAGAAAGGAAAATTGATCCAGTAGCTACTAGATGACACCAAGAAGACTAACATAAGACTAATTTCATTTAGGAAAGTATTAGAGGATAGCATGCATGAAATAAAAAATCTGCTCACAGGAAGCAGAAAACTTTCCAAGCATAGGGAAAGTACTCAATGTACAGGTAAGTGAGACATAGAGAATTCCAAATAATTACAAAGAGAGGAGCAACTTTACATGACACATCAAAGGCAAAATCCCAGAAGTACAACACAAGAACAGAATGTTCAAAGTTGTCAGGCAAAAGATAAAATACATATATAAAGATAAACCCTTTAGAATTACAGCAGACTTTTCAACACAAACTTCAAAGACAGAGAACTTGGAATGAAAAACTTCAAAACCTAAAAGGAAACAACTTTCAACCCAGACTAATATATTCTGCAAAAATGGATATTTCATGACAAAGAACATCTTAAGTAATTCATCACCACCAGTCTAGCACTCCAAAACTTTTTGAAGAATATCCTATATAGACAGAAATAATGACGCCAACATGCCAAGAGTCTCATGGGATGAATACATCAAGATGGGTGAGCAATTACACACAAAGAAAAATAAATCAACAGCAGAAAAATAATACAAATACAGGAATAGGTTAATATCTTTCAGTAATAACTTTCAATGTGAATGGCCTTAACTTCCCCAATAAAAAGACACAGATTGCAAGCAGGACCAAAATCCAAAACTTAATGGTTTGCTGCATACAGGAGAAATAGTTTACCCAAAAGGAAATTTGGTATTTCCAAATTTAAATTTGGAAATTTTTTGTTTAAAAACAAAGACTGAAAAACAACATCTCATACATGAGAAACCCCAAAACAAATAAGGGTAGCAATCTTAATCTCAGACAAAATGGACTTGAAGGTTAAACTGATCATAAGAGGCAAAGAAGGTCACTACATCTTAATTAAGGGAAAAATTCAACAGGAAAACAATAACAATTGTAAATATACACACAACAAATGCCAGTGAATTCTACTTCATAAAACAAACTCTGCTGGATATAAAATACAAAGCAAACATTAAAACAGTGATAGTGTGGGACCATAATACTTCACTTTCACAAATATACAGGTCAGCTGGACAAAAAAATCTATAGAATATCAGAGCTGAATCACACTTTCAAATAAATAGATTTGATATCTACAGAATATTTTAGTCTACTACCATACAATACACATTCTTCTGAAAAGCACATGGAATATTCCTCAAAGTAGACTGTACACTAGCCCACAGAGTATGCTTAAATACAAACTAAGCAAAATTACACTCTGTATGCTATTAGATCACAGTGCACTGAAAGTAGAAATCAATGGTTAAAATTTTTTAATACACACCAGAGGATTAAATAACACCCCTGAATGCTCAGAGTTACAGAAGAAATCAAGAAACACTTAATTCCTAGAGTCAAGTAATAGTAAGTCGTAAGAATCAGAGTGGAAACTAACAAACTTAGTATAAAAAAAAAGAACCAATAAATCAGAGTTTGTTTTTCCAAAGAATAAAATTCAAAAACCTTTAACCAAACCTAGTAAAAGAAAGAAAGGAATGACCCATGTTAAAAGCTATTAGAAAAGAAATCACAAAGGACGTTGCCAAAATCAAGACCACATGTAACTATTGTGAAAACTTTACTCCAACCAACTGGTGAACCCAGAAGAAATAGACAGGCTCCTAAATATATGTGAATTACCAAACTTGAACCAAGCAGGCCTAAAAACCTGGAACAACCCAATAACAGACAATGAAGTTGGAGTAATAATGAAAAACCTACCAGGAAAAGCCTAGGGGCAGAAGGATTCATTGTTGAATTTTACAACACTGTCTGAAAAGATATAATGTAGATACTTCTCAAATTCATTAATGGACTAGAAAGGAAAGGAAAGGAAAGAAGTACTTCCAAACTCATTCTTATAAGCTAGCATTACCCTGGTTTCAAAACCAGATAAAGACCCAGTTAAAAGAGAAAATGACAAATTCTTTAATGAACACAAAAAGCCTCAAAAAGACACTAACAAACAGAATGCAAAAAATCATCAAATACATTTATATCATGAGCAAGTAGGCTTCATTCCAAGGATGCAGGAACGCTTCAACATATACAAAACAATAAATACGATACACCACATAACAGAAACAAGGACAAACATCACATGATTATCTCAATAGATGCAGAAAAACCTAACATCCATTCATGATAAAAAAAGAAACAAAACCCTGGGGCCCAGGGGTTTAGCTCAGTGGTGCAGTGCTTGCCTGGCAAGCACGAGGTCCTAAGTTCAATTCCTGGTACCCACTGCAAAAAATAACAATAACAACAACAACAACAACAACAAAAACTGAGGAAAATAGGTGCAGAATGACCTAACATTAATCTGCTCAAAGGTAATGACAAACTCACTGGCAACATCATACTAAATGGAGAAAAGCTGAAAACTTTCCCTCTAAAATCAAAAACAAGACAAAGATGTTCACTATCACCATTCTTGTTCAATACAGTACTGGAAAAATTAGTAGTGGCAATCAAGCAAAAGAAAGAAATAAAAGGGATAGATATAGAAAAGTAAGAAGTCAAACTATCATTATTGGAAAGGGACATGATCTTTTATAAAGAAGACCAAAAAAATTTCACTGAAAGACTCCTTAAATTAATAACCAAATTCAGCAACAGAAAACAAAAATCACACAATAATCAGCAGTGTTCCTATTCATCAAAAATGAACTCACCAAGAAAGAAATTAGAGAAAAAAATGACCATTCACAATAGCAACAAGAAAAATTAAATATTTAGGAATTGACCTAATAAAGAAATGAAAGACCTCTGCAATGAAAACTATACTACTTTTTATAAAGGAGGTCAAAGAGAGCACCAGGAATTGGAAAGATATTCCCTATTCCTGGATAGGCAGATCCAGTATTGGCAAAATGACTATTCTACCAAAATGGATGTACACAAATCCCAATCCAAATACCAAAAACATTTGTCACAAAAAATGGAAAACCCCTATCTTACAATTTATATGGAACTGGAAGAGATCTAGAATAGCAGAAGCAATCCTGGGCAATGAACACAAAGCAGGAGTCATCACAATCCAAGATTTCCAGTTAAATTACAGCACTATGGTGATAAAAACAGAATGGACCTGGCACAAAAACAGACATACTGGTCACTGAAATGGAAGAGAAGATGACAATCTTTGACAAAAGGGCCAAAAACAAATGCTGAGGGGAAACTCTTCTTTAATAAATGGTGTTTGGAAAACTTTTTTTATACACATTCAAGAGCTTGAATAGAGACCTGTATCTATCATCACATACCAAACTAAAATGCAAATGTATC